AACCAAACATATGATGACAAATAGTAGTTTTATATCCAAATATAAAAAATCAAATATTTGAGCGTTCAATAAATAAAAATTAAAATATTAAATATTTTTACAAAACTTCTATTGCTAATGTAAGTACCAAATTTGCANTCTCGAAGAGTTAAAATATGAAAAATTTATAACTCGGAAAATATTGACGGAAATGAGTTCAATTTTGCTACTCGGGGGTTTTTGGGGTCGCTGAACACGAATATCACGACGGCAACGGTCTCCGAGGTACCTAGCGCCCAGGGTGGCCGATTTCCACGTCGTCTCCTGGAGTTTTGTGAAAATTCGTTATAAACATAGCCAAAACTCGTTACCTCGGGGTTTTTGAGGTCGCTGAACACGAATATCACAACAGTAATGGTCTCCGAGGTACCGATGTCATGTTCATATGTTCATAAGGTTTATCGAATATCTAAATAAATTATCCGAAACATTTTTTTTAAATTTGACGCTTTTAATACAGTTGGTATCATTGATGAAATTTTAGGTAAAGACTGCGATCGTTGGCCGCTGCTTCCAGGTTTTACTTTTACATATATACTAATATATACTCTTACACATACTAGTACATACGGATACGCTCCAAGCTATAGCGCACACGTGAAATAAGAAAAATTAAAATTGTAAAGATATCTAAAGTATAATATTTTTTGAAAACATGTATTTTTTATAATGAATGAATTTTTATAATAAAAAATAATTTAGAATAAAATAGTTGTCAGAGAAACCAGCCATCCTGGGTACTAGGTATCTCGAAGACCATTACCGTCGTGATATTCGTGTTGAGCGACCCCAAAAACCCCGAGGTAACGAGTTTCAACTAAGTTTATAACGAATTTCCACAAAACTCCAGGAGACGACGTGGAAACCGGGCACCCTAGGGCACTAGGTACCTCGGAGACCGTTGCCGTCGTGATATTCGTGTTAAGCGACCTCAAAAGCCCCGAGGTAACGAGTTTCAGCTAAGTTTATAACGAATTTCCACAAAACTCCAGGAGACAACGTGGACACCGGCCACCCTGGGGCACTAGGTACCTCGGAGACCGTTGCCGTCGTGATATTCGTGTTCAGCTACCCCAAAAACCTCCGAGTTGTAATATTGAACTAATTTCCGTCAATATTTTCCAAGTTGTAAATTTTTCATATTTTAACTCTTCGAGATGCAATTTTAAAAATGCATTTTTCTTATACAGCGATGCAATTTTCATTTCTCAATAATCACATAAGGACACAAACTTTCTATCCAGACACTCTAACGAATCGAATGCAAAAATCCGCATCACAATCCATCTTACTGCATAGATTTCGGAGGTAAGGCCGTTTTTAGTGCTCTATTTCCTCGACTATCCTTATTTTAACTGATCTGATGTATCACCAAAATTTAAAAACAATCTAGTTTTGATATTCGGTTGTCCATTTCGTCGAAAACAGCGTAGACTGTAAAAATTGACCAACACACTTTTTGTTAATTGAGAAGAAGAGAAATTGCCAAAAAATGCCACGAGTAACTGCTTTTAGATAAAAGAAATATTCGGTAACCTCATCTCTCGCATCTCCGTTACTGTGCAGAAAAAAAGGTTCCTCGTACATAGCAAATTTTTTGCTTATTACTTCATCTATCTGTTTCTACATAAATTTTAAAAACATTCTGCAGATTGAGTACAGTTTTAAGTGGACACACAGAATATTTTGAGTTTCTGTAAAAAAATCTGTGAAAATACTACATATTTTTTACTGTTTTTTTTTTAAAGAATTAATACATAGTAACTTTTCTGTCGTTCTAAGTATTGATCGGAACTGTCCTAAGTATTGATTACCAAGACATGAAATTAAAGTGACCCTATAAGTAACCGGTCAAATGGCGCTGTGGGGAAATTGCTGCGGCGTCGCCGTCGCGACGGCTGGCTACTAAATGTTACATACGCTACGATTTTCGCATTTCAATTGCATATTGTCTACGGCAATACTCCTCGACGTGCATGAGGCGCCACATGAAACGGTCTGTTATATCATTTTATTCTAGAAGCTTAAAGAAAAACCAGACGCCTAAAGGAAAATGTTACTGAGGATGCGTTGATACCGTCAATGGGTAGGTAAAAAAATTGTAATAAATTCTTATATTTCAGGAGAACCAAACATATGATAACAAATAGTAGTTTTATATCCAAATATAAAAAATCAAATATTTGAGCGTTCAATAAATAAAAATTAAAATATTAAATATTTTTACAAAACTTCTATTGCTAATGTAAGTACCAAATTTGCACTGGCATGCTCTCAGTACAGTTTTGAAGAAATTTTTTTTCGAAGATAGGAAGAGAATAGCATATTTTTCAATTTATATCAATTATTCTTCACCATTTCACGAACTAAATATAGATCTATAAGGAAATTATTAACAGTATAACAATTTCTTTCATGGTTTTTAATACCGCAACAATATTCGATTTCCATTCAGTAGGCTGAATAGTCACGTGGTCTTTGATATACCGTAACTAAACGATTAAATGGTTTATGAAATAGGCATGAAATTAATTTTTGCAAACAGGTGTCTGAAGGATGGGGTTCCGAAGCCATTCTAAACGTGACAGATTTATTTCAGCTAATCGAATATGAGACGTTCCAAAACATTTAACATCATAAGCAACAATTTTTTGTTAAAACGACATGCAACAGCATCATTGGATGTCATTTAAGTTTACAATTGTTTCTGTTTACTAGATTAGTAAAAAAATGAAGGTACACCTATAAGGGAGTATAAAAACTGACACTTCTAGAGGAATCGTAAGTGTTAAAGGTACTCCGGAACAGATTCTAAGAGCTGTACTGTACTTTAAAGCATTAGAGCTATTAAGCTAGTTCAAAGCAGTTTTAAAAATGTTCCTAAATTCATCAACGGAAAAACCTTGACGGTGCAATAGGTTTATCCAAGGTGTTGCATTATATGTACACTCGATAGTGAGATATTTCTCGGAAATTACTCTAAAATCTTTACATGATGTATATTCAATATCAAATGAAAATTGCTCAACGGAAGTGGAATGCTCATTTTCAATGTTTTTCTATGAAATCACTCCATTGGACATTAAAAGTTGTCTCAAGCTAATGCAAAATAAATCCTCGAGCCAGATGGCATTTCCATTAGGGTCTTAAAATATATTTCTCGATTTCTTCTCAATCCATTGTGTCACATTTTTAATTTATCAATTAAAGCTGGAATTTTCCCAGAGGCTTTTAAATTGGCCAATGTATTCCATTATATAAGAAAGGGGACATCGATTGTATTGAAAATTACAGGCCTATAGCTTTGTTGTCTAGTTTTTGAAAATTATTTGAACAAATTTGTCACAATCGCATTTCTTGTTTCAAAGATAAAAAAAAATTGCTAGCCAGTTGTCAACATGGCTTTAGATCAAATTTCTCAACAAATACGGCCTCATTTTCTTTGGTAAATAATATGATAAGTTCTATCGACAAGTCTTGGTTATTGGGAGCCATTTTTTACCATGATCCAAGAAGAAATCTTCGCTATAAGTGGACGTTAACGGTTACGCTATCCGGTGTAAGCTTATCTACATATTTTCCGATAGTCAGATTACAACAAAAGCTTTAAACTCAAACAAGGTGTGGTCAAAACTGGCTTGGGACTGTTTACAGTAAAGTCAGGTTATGTTGAGAGTCTGAACATAAAGGCATTAAAGAAAACAAGAAACAGGAACTTTCCTATCAAATTCACTTTTGGCATTCTTGATTAGTGCCGTTAAACATGATTTGGAGAAATAGGTGGAAGCTCATGCAAAAAGAATGTTAACTATTTCTTCGAACAAATAAACTAATAGAGTGCTGAGTATGAATTCGATGAACCAGGGTTGCAACTTGAAAGAAGAGATTACGATGTACATTCTGGTTGGGTGCGAGAACTTTGTATGCCTGAGATACAGATTTATTGGTAAGTCTTCTTAAATAGAGAGAAAGGAAAGGAAAAAAGGACAAATTTGCTGACTGAATAAGAAGATAGTGACAGGAACAAGTTTTTTGGAAATGCTTTAGAGAATCGACCAAAGTAGAAGAATGTACTGATGTCAATAATACAAAGCTTTCACCCAAAGACAATATTTTTCTCTTCGTCAAAACGTACATCCTCACTCTGTTCTCCAACTCATGCTTTCTTCGGAAACAATGAAATTTAAAAACTTACGGTATTTCTCTAAAATTCTAATCTTATACGTTCTGATTAGGTATATCAGCTATTCGGAATCTTGAAGAACACTTTGGCTAAATTCAGGAATTATGGAATTATGATGATGTGAAAGAAGTGGATCAATGCCCAACCAAAAACCTTTCTTTCTAATATATTAAAAAAGAGTATGATCGCTTAGAAATATACATAATTTGTACATTTAATTGTATTATTAAAAAAGAGATAAATATCACAGAATAAGGTATTCTGACCCTGAACCCTGACCCTGAAGTGTCAACCATATTTCTATTCTATGGATCTATGAGTGCGGCAAAATTTTAAAACTAGAGAAATTATTTATTTGCATCTTTACTCGCAAAGTAGATATAAGTAATTGCTGTTTTGTTTTAAGAAAAATGAAAAACTACTTCACTGATGCACATAATGCGGACGTAGCTAAATACATTCTTAGTGAATTTATGAGCATCACAAAACACAGATTAAATAGAGGTAAACAGACATAACCATGTTCTAAAGAAGTAAAGCACGGACGAGTGCAAAAAAATTTTTATGGGCAACAACCATGGTTGTGATGTCCGTATTTATTTGTATTGTATTGTGTCAATATATCATATGTAAACTGAATACTCATATTTTGCAATACCTGAAATGTAAAAAGAAGTTTTTAAATACGAATACGATCGCAAAAATGAGCTTGGAGGATGTTATTTTAACTAACTCATTACTCATGAATCGAAAGATAAAATAAAAAAACGTAGCTAACCTCTGATGTGTGCAATGTGTTCGTCGTACTGCGACTTGCTCCTGACAAACTCCAACTTGGCTGATCCTGTGTTAAAGCTATGAGTCCTGTACTCGCTGTACCACTCTGAACTGGAACTAGTCACTTTACTACTGTTGCTATCCCTGTCCCAATCTTCTTTGCTGTTCGGCTCTTTGGTGGAAGCCTCCCTCAGGCTCTCCTCCGAAGGAAACTTCCCCGTCAGGGAACTGGCGCTCGAAGTTTTCGAGGTGGAAGCCAAGTTTCCGCTAGATTGCGTCAAATAAGCGGAGTCTTCCAAGACCAGCTCTTCAGAAGGCGTGCGGCTGCTGCTCACCAAATGGCGGATGGACGTGGTGCTAGAGCTGGACGTTACTTGGCGGACAGTCTTGCGAACTGTTACTTTTTCGAATTTTACGGTTTTGACGCCGGTCGCTAGATCGCCTTCTTGAGTGGTCGTCGTGTAGGTTTCCTAGAATATTTTGGGGTAATTCAGGGGAGCACTAATGAACAAAGGTATGCGCTTGTGGCAACTATATAGAAATAAGCAATTGTGATGAATTTCTTTTAGTTTCATTAACATGGATGATATTCATTTGCTGTTTCCAGTCATATAATACAGTGACTGGCGAAATGATTGCATCACATAGAATACCTACATTTTTATTGCTAGTGTTTAATAAATAGCAATGCGAACAATGTCGCCTCAATATTCAAACAATTGCCGTTTGTTTTTAGGGGTCTGACGGAAAAATGCAGAAATTGAGAATGATGTAGCTTTACCAATTTTGGAATCATTTACTGTAAATAACAGAATTATCAATCTTCTTTAAACAGACAATTTTTACATTTTAAAGAACAGGTTTTGTTGCTTAAAGATATTGGTAGAACCAGTTATATTTAATTTAATAATTACACAGCTCCACAAGAAAAGTCTTGTGCAAATGGCCATAATAGATTATTCCCATTATTTTGAACTGCCGAATCTGAATCTGATCTCAGAATTGTCCCAGAAAATCACCAGAGTTTACTAACATAAAAAAATGCTTAAAATCCACAAAATCGACAAATCAGCAAGTCCAGGTATGATTTATCAGCGGCTGAACTAGTAATCAGATCTTTATATTCCCATGTATTTTAATTAGCTGAAAAAATAGCTAAAAATCAATAATAATCACTGGAATTTTAGAATGGCTACAAGATGAATTATAATTTATATTTCGCATGTGCTGTATTTTTTGAGGTTAGTAATGAGCACCTGAAAATTCGTACAGGGCCGTTCAAAGGTTTAAAGTATTTTAGTATATTTTTGCATTATTTGTAGCCTTCTAAAATTTGAGAATATTATCGATTTAAGGTATTTTTTCAGGTAAGAATATGCTGGTGATTTACTAAGGCAATTCTGACATCGGATTGAGATTCAGCAGATCAAAATACAAGGGAATATAAAGGTCAGGATTTTCAGTCGCTGTTAAATCATACCTAGATGATAGAAGCTAATTTATTAATTTTGTGGATTTTTACTTTTGGAAGAACAGCAAAACAAGAAATGTATTTATATTAAGAAGGTAATGAATAACAAACATTTGAAATAGGAAATGTTGCTCAGAATATAAATATTGAGATAAAATAAAATAAATATTGTTTATATATAGACAAAATTAATAAAAATGCTTAAATCATTAAAAAAAAATTAAATAGTGTAATTATACACTACCGTTTAATAATAATAAGTAAATTTGGCAATGTAATACCAAAAGTTATTACTTTTCGAGAAAAAGGGTTAGTAAAAAAAATGGCAACGCTAATAAATTGCAGCGAATTAAAGAAAGTAGAATAAACTGACAGTGCTTATTTTTTACACAGCATTACTTAGTCTATTGTATCAAATTTCCTTTATTTAACATATTTTATCCATCGGTTTACATACTTTAACAACATTGCAGTTTCAAAATAACAAAATTGCTACTTTTTTAATAAAATTGTTCAATATCTTTTTAAATATTGCGACTTTTGCTAAATCGTTAAATATTCTTATATTTCTCATCGAGCCCATAAAGACAAACGCCACTGCTTGTTATTATCGATATTTGTCAAAATCTAATAACTAAGGCTCTTCTAAATGATGCGTACTTTTTGCCTGTCACTGTAAAAACAAAAAATGTACTCATTCATAATAATATATCGTCAATATTTCATATAAAAAAAATAAAGGTGCGGGTTAACTTATATTTGTTTTTAAGTTAGCCTTAAAAATTAATTCAAATTTTATTCTATTCTAATCTAATTCTATTTTTGATATAATTTATGCTAAAAAGGAAATATTTACAAATATAATAATATGAACATAAGTAGGTGGCGTAAGCGCCGTTAGACAATAGCGAATGTTAATGAAAAAAATCTAAAATTTAAATTAAGAACAAGTGAAGACTGTAGCATACTTTCTTTCTATTAATAAATCAGTATTTTTTGTTTGAACATTTACCCTCAATTGGCAAAAATATAGCAATTTTTTTAATGCAAAATGAACTGAGGATAACTACAGTGATACAGATAGAAATTTTCCATTTCCTACTGACAATATAATGTTATATAAAGCTCTCAATTTGTGTAATGCACGTCAATTTTTTTAATAGAATATTCAACTTTTTTTAATTCCCTTGAATCTTTGCATTATTGATTTCTAAACAGAGTATGCTAAACATTAAAAAAACGCCGTAAATTCACATTATATTTACTTTCAATAGTGATAAAAATAACGTGGAAACTTTTACGACATGACTAACTTTAATGTAATGGATAATGGAATTAATCCTTTGTAATTTTACAGTGTCGTGATTCAATAAATACTTATCAATAAAGTTATCTTTTAGCGAACTTAGTTATAACATAATTTGGATTTGTGATAATCATTTACTTTGTCAATTATATATTATTTATTTAGTGTAAAATTACACTCAATTTAATATATGCAGTTTGAAATTTACTTTGCCTATATGTAACCAACATGTTTCTATTATCATCAATTATTTCTCTATTAGGACTATTAGCCATTTTGTTGGAACACCACTGTAACTTTACAATAAAATTACACCTTTTTAGGTAATTTTACGAATGTTTTAGACCTATCTTAAACGTGAGATTACACACTCTAGATCTAGAATATAATTATTGTAAATTGGTAATTCATTTGAATTTCTATAATATGCCTATATTGCCGACAAGTAACCTACTTTAGTTTCAAATGAAGTCAAAGATTTAAAAAAGATTTTTAATTTCTTTAAATTGGCTTTATATCTTTAAAAAATAGTAAAAACATGCGAGAACTAATAACAGAATATATGTTATTTTAAAAGAAACCTATTTTCATTGATGTAATCTTATAATTGTAACTGTTTCTCCTAGCAAATTTAAACAGTGTAACATTGGAATTTCTGTAAATACGACCTAAACATTTTTAAGTCGATTATAGACCAACCCAAGAATCCAATACACTTAATAAATAAAGAGGTCAGGCTGTAATGGAAAATCAATAGTCTTTAAGTTAAGCTGCTAATAAATTTAGGGAACAGAGCAAAACATAAGGTAAACATTGCGTAACAGATTAAGCAGATTTTACTGCAAATATAAATTAAACTTTAATAAGCAAGTAACGAATGCAATTGTATTTTAATTAGCTTACAACGTGTAAACATTTCACGTTCCTAAAGAAGCTAATTGCATTTTAGAAAACTAAAAAGCAAGTTCGTAATCATTTTCAGTAACAAGAAATTGGTAATGGCAATTCAGTAAACATATTTCCCTGAATGAAGAAACAAAAAAATAGTTGTATTCAAGAAAAAATTGTATTATATTTTATTTATACAGGGTGTTAGAAGTTTGACTACCTTAATTTGATAGAATACATTAAAATAAACAAAAAAACCTCATATGACATGGGTCCTAAACTCAACCATTTCCGAGAAAAAAATCAGCAAAATCTCCAACTTGATGTACAAAAGTTCGATTAATTAGGGAATATTGCATTGTAATAAATTTAAAATTCCATAAAATTCATATCGAGCAATGTGAAAACGGCGCGACGGATAACACGAGGTACTAAGCTGTCCAGCAATACGCAATTCAGTTGGTGTTGGTATCTGGAATTGGATCGTGTCGGAGTGTTTTTTGCGTACCACTATTTCCTTTTCTTGATGTGTTTTCCAGCGAGTGCGCGAATATTGGATTCGAAGGTGTCGTACGTGCATTGAAAATGGTGGTGGACATTTTGAGCATATGTTGTACTTTGTTTTGTACCTGTGCGTTTAAAAATTACTGAATATTGCTTAAAAGTTAAGTTCCTGTTTTAAAAGATTCATAATTACCTACTAAAATTCGAACTAAAATTTAAGCACAACACTTCGTACTACAAAATCTATACATTTTATTTTATTTATTTAAAACAATTGTCTTGAAATTTATTAAATATTTCACAATACTTATGTGTAGAATTTTCAAAATGTTAATCATTAATTAATTATCATCTTTTCATAATTTTAATTTGTTCTAGTAATATTCCCGTAGTCATTTATTATATTATGTATTGGTTATTGACCGATACTTATTTCTCCAAACATTTAATTTAACACTAATAATCGAAATCATAGAAATTAGTGACAAATGGTGAATTTGAACCACCATGAAGAAATAAAATCTCATAGTTATTATAATGGCCACCTAGATTATGGTTACGAAGAAAAACAACGCAACTAAACAAGAAGGGCCTCATAATTTAATTCTACTGGATACATTATTGCTCAATAATTAGTCTGTGTCAGCCTAGAGTTCATGGTTTCTAAAAATACCATGTGAAACACCAAACAAAAGAATTAGTTACGAATAATTACGTCTGCCAGTAATTGGTTCAGCAAATATGGAGGCGCTGTACCGAGGTGGTAGTGTATAATTTTCGGTAATTTTGGTGTGTAATATTAGATGCGTGGATGAAGAGGGTTCTAACTATATCGTGCTGTACGTAGCCTATAATTTATATTAATAAATAAAAAATTAAATCATACGTTAAAAATACATTTAAGAATGTGAGTAAGCGTCTTTTAATAAGGATTATTAGTGTTTCATTGTTTTATTACAATTTTAGTGGATAATGTACAAAATCTATAAATTTAAAAAATATAGTTTTTTATTTGTATACAGTAAATATACATATATGTATTATGTATGTTTGCAATACTTTTAATTTTATTGCTAGTTTCTTCTATTTACCTCTGCTTGTTATTATCGATATTTGTCAAAATCTAATAACTAAGGCTCTTCTAAATGATGCGTACTTTTTGCCTGTCACTGTAAAAACAAAAAATGTACTCATTCATAATAATATATCGTCAATATTTCATATAAAAAAAATAAAGGTGCGGGTTAACTTATATTTGTTTTTAAGTTAGCCTTAAAAATTAATTCAAATTTTATTCTATT